AAAGGTAAGTTAATATCGTTTAATATACATAATTGTGAATAACATATAGAGTAGGCCTATGGTTTATAGGTGTTGTGAAGTGATTTCTGGACAGGGTCGATGCTTGAAGTTGAAGAACAGACGATCCATTTTAAATTATCACAGGACGACATAGCATTTTCTTCCTTTCTTTAATTACATAGAATAGACACGACTACTTCGACGACGACATAACGAAGACTTCTACATCCTCACACGACAAGACCAAGACTAAGACTAACTTTAACTATTTCCGCTAACAGTCAAAACCTATTCTCGCATGTCACATCCTTCCTTGCAACGTAACATTCAACATCTTTTATTAATACAGCACATTCCACTACACACATACTCTCATACCCATTCCGTACACTAAAATACTATTCACAACAATAGGTTAACTTAAAGGTGGTCAACATGGCAAAACACGAAAATGCGTTACCCTGGGCATCCATAAGTCTATACATACCACATATCCACTACGTACCAATGTATTAGATTCTATGTAGACCAAAACTACTAGTAATACATTTATATATCTATTGATCTTAATATATTCACAGCTATTTACACATAGCTATACGTCTATATCTAAATTTATATCTATACATCTATTTATCCATGTCTATAGATGCATACATTTATATATCTATATTAATATCCATAATGTCTAGGGCCTAGGACATCACCCCCTCCCCGCAATATCCCCAAGCATTTGCTCCCAGCCTATGTCACTTTATGATAATTATCATCTTATCGATAATACGTAGTATCGCACTTTACATGTTAACGACATTAGAAACCTAAAATGGTTAGAGTTTGGTCGACAGAGTAAGAAATAATGCCGAGGCATTTTACAGAAAGCAAGGTAAGAAGTGCAGAATAGCCCCAGAATTTCTTCGAGGTATCTCTTGTTTTAATAACAAGCTTTTATGTAATAATGCACTAAATAGTAAAAAATAAACTATACACTACTATTTAAATAACTATACAGAAAAGCGTGGGTCTCTTCCTAAATATTAGTAAAGGTATCCAATAGATACTAAAGTAAACAGTGGCGGAACTAGAAAAAATGGGCCACCCCGCAAAAAAAAATGGTGGGCCTCCCCCCCCCCCCCATATATATATAAGAACATAGGATACTCATTTTTGGCCTGACCGGGTTTTGAAAAAAAAATCAATTAAAACTAATCACAACAACATGTCATGTGTGTGAGTGCATTGGTCTGTTTTGAAAATCTCTGTTTTCATTTATGTTTGCCTTAATACTGCTAATCCTCAAGTCGGTCAAAAGAATATAAATAATGAAAGCTTTGTATAATTAATGGTGTCTCGTGTTTTGTTTATTTTTATGTGTATTTTTTTAAATTTATATTATTAATTTTAACTACATTTCATTTTTATACTATGCCATTCTTTAGTAATTATTTTTCTTAAAATAATAGTTAAGATAAGTAATTGCTGTTTAATTTGATTAGTACAAACCTATTAAAATGAGCTTATGAGCAGCCCTATTTGACTATTTTAAAAAGGGAAATAATTTATGGAAGTTGTTTGAACGTTTGCCTATCTTTCACACTACAGCTCATGTGTATATTTTTTTTTACGCAACAGCATGTCTTAGCTGCTAGATCTATATAACATCACTGCTGTATTAGATCAGTTTGTTATTTACAAAACCACTATCAATGTGCCAGTGGCGAAACTTATATATATATATATATATATATATATATATATATATATATATATATATATATATATATATATATATATATATATATATATATATATATATATATATGTTACGGTCAAAGCCCGAAGTGCGGCCAAACCCCGGATTGGCCGCGCATTGGCCGGCTCTCTTGGCCAAAGCCCGAAGAACTTAGCACTAAGATCGTATTTCGTACATTGGCCGGCCAATGCGCGCACTGGCCGGGACGTACTGGCCAAAGTCCGAAGCGCTTAAACTTGACAGCATATTTTGTACATTGGCCGGCCAATGCGCGCACTGGCCGGGATGTCCTGGCCAATGTTCTATCTAGACTAAGTTGTGATCGCATTTTCATTATTCTGGGTGCGTTTTCATTGAGAGTAACGTATTGTTTAGCTCTTGTTTGTATAGCATTCTATATGCAAGGCGACATGGATCAAAAGGGCAGTCAGACCATGAGACAGACATAGCAGATGGCTGCCAAAAGAAAACAATGTAAATCCATGTTAGTTTCCATATATGGGCTCTCGATAAAATAGTTACTGAGGAAGATCTTGAGAACATTGAACAAGAAATGGAGGTTGCCATAAATGCAACGACATCCTCAGCTAACACATCTACTGCCGTGGCGGAACGTCCAGACCAGTTGCGTGATAATAATGTGGCCAACAGATTCTATATAGTTTGTGAAAAACATTGTAGTGCAGCTCATTCTTGTGGATCCTGTGGCAACGATGTCCATGCGATTTGTGGAATACCCAATGAAGCAGACGAAGGGTACGGAGGGAACATTACCTGCAGATTGTGTCACAACAAAAAAGACATCATGGAACACAGATCAGCAGCTCATACTGGCTTGCAAACTCAAAGTGCTAAGATGCTTAAAACATCAAATACAAAATTTAAAGATGGTGAAGTGGGTGACAATGTACGCATCCGTTTTCCAGATGTTGACAGAGGTCACGGTGATCCCCGAAGCGTGATTGCAGTTGTCATGAGCGTCGAGGGCGGTTTCTACAAATTAGGAACGGAACATGGTGTTCTAAAACAACTGTATGCTAGTAGTGAGTTTTCAATTCTTCACGAAAAACTGCTCTTATTGTCGTCAGTTGACACTGAGGAAAATTCACTACGAACCATCGCATCTTCACAATCATTGACTGGGGGCCAAGGCTACACTCGCTGCAATTGCACAACTAAGTGCACAACAAATCGCTGCAAGTGTAAAAATAACAAGCTGCTATATCATTCTAAATGCCATAAAAGTTCAACTTGTTGTAACAAATGATGATATTGATAGATTGAGACTATAGTACAATAAAAAGTTTGAGTTTCTGTCATTTACTTTAATTAATAATCAATAAAGACTTAATTTCATGATCCTTACGGCATAAAAAAAAACAAAAATCTGCTCATGATCTTCTAATTCGGACTTTGGCCGGTCGTCCCTAACCAGATGATCTTCTAATTAAGACTTTGGCCGGTCCACCATGGCCAGTCCGCGGACTGGCCGGCCAAAGGCCGAAATCAAGTAAAGTTTCGGACTTTGACCGACCTAAGGGAGGCGATATTGGCCAAAGCGCGGATTGGCCGGCCAATCCTAGCATTGGCCGACTTCGGGCTTTGACCATAACATATATATATATATATATATATATATATATATATATATATATATATATATATATATACACACACCACGTTATTAATCGTGTATTTATTTTAGACGTTTGCCTTGTTTTCTAGAACAATGGTTATTAAACGTAAACAATGTCGGCACTTTATTTCTTGGATCTAAGTTGTTGGGGCGCTAGTTTGTCCACACTACCACCGAGACGAGCCAGTAGTTGTTGAGGCGCTATCTATTCGCTTCTTGTAAGGCTAAGAGCGGGAGGGGAGGTCTGAGAAGGGAACTTAAAAGGGCCAACAAAGCGCCGATGTACTTTTATCCATCTGTACCGAATGTGGGATGGTCTCAAAAAGTCGTCTTAATTTCTAGCGGCCTTTCGTGCAATGGACGTTTTTTCAAAAGAATTTTGCCGACAACAGCGTGTTTGATTGTAGGAAAAAGAATATACAAGAGCGTGGGATGGTGTCAATAGAATAAAGATAATCCAACCGCAGCTATAGTATTCTTTTTTCAAAACAACCATCAGGTCAAAAATGCAAGAAAATTAATTTTTTATACTAAAAAAATTATTATGGGCAGCTGTGGGCCCCTAAACAGCGGGGTCTGGCGGCACTGTAGTTCCGCCCCTGAAAGTAAACCACGCTTTCCTTTATAGTTATTTACATAGTAGTCTATAATTTATTTTTTACTTTTAAGTGCATTATCACATAAAAGCTTGTGATTAAAACGTTTTTTATGAATTTTGTTTTACAAGCTTTTATTTAACTTGATTCCTCTATCGTCAGTCTGTCTGTCTAGATCGAAACGCCCGAGTGGAATTACGGGCACTTCTAACTGACAGATACGGTTCAAAGTTTGCACGTGAGTCAAGACATGGAGACAATGCAATTTGACATTAAATTTGACTACATTGAATGTCTAATTAATTTTTTAAATTTATTAATTAAAATTGTGTCTAAATTAGTAGGCAGTCTCGTCCAACTATTCTGCATTATTATACGCGTGATTTCACGTTCATTCGATGCGTAATGGTTTTTAGTCATGCAACTCTATTGCATTAAAAAATTTAAATAACAAGCTTTTATTACAAGCTTTTATTTAACTCACTTCCTCTGTCTGTCTGTCGTCAGTCTGTCTAGATCGAAACGCCCGAGCGAAATTGCAGGCACTTCTAAATGACAGATACGGTTCGTAGTTGGTACGTGGGTTAAGACATGAAGACAATATATATATATATATATATATATATATATATAAATATATATATATATATATATATATATATATATATATATATATATATATATATATATATATATATATATATGTAACTAGTGTAGTTACTAAAGACGATTGATAAGAACGCAATACAGTCTGTCAACTAAGACACGATCAAGGCCAAACTGGGCTGATGCAACGGATGCAGGTGGTGTGGACTGATAACGAATACAAAGCCACTGCGTAGTTGGAGGCGAGAAAAACGGACTGAACATAGCTATGATGCAAAGGATAGAACCGATTACGAATACGAGGTGATATATAGGACTGCACGACGAGAAGTTGGCGAGAACAGTTGTGGAAGCCTGAACTGTAGATACGTGTTTCCATTTGAGAGAATAAGGTTTGAAGCCTGAACCATGGACACGTGTATTCTGATATGTGAGAACTAGTGAGGACAGTGGGGGTCAGTTGGTTCATTGTATTCTTGTGGAACATTGATGCATTGCTATGTGGAGCATTTCTATTGATTCATTTAATAAAGAGATAAATGTAAACCTGCACTTCCGAGTATCTGTATTGTGGTTGATGTTGTGTGCTGGTCAAGGATAGCACAAGTAAATAGACTCGGTAACATTTGGCACTGCGAGTAAATACACTCGGTAACATATATATATATATATATATATATATATATATATATATATATATATATATATATATATATCCCACCTAAATCAACCCACCTTCATACATTTTTTATATCCCTTCTCCGAGTGGGAATCAGAAAGGAATGACCAATTATTAAATTATTAGATTAGCAACTATGCACCCTACTGTTTTTAAAAGGCGACACTACACTTAGATCTATATCAGAAAATATTTGAAAACTATAAACACAAACATAATTTAACACTTGTTGAATAATGTTTTATTAACAGGATGTTCCTGTGGTGGACACAACTGTGGCTTGTCGTAGTTTTAGTGCATGGAGTTGTGGCCAAGTTCGGATTCGTAAAAGATCAGTCGATGGATGAAGTTTTTCCTGGCCCAGTATACCGACAAGACCCATCTTTACCTGAAGGACATATGCGTCCTCTGGGTAAGCACAATTTAACAAGTCAACGGTGTATCGAAACTGTTATAAAATTATTAGAAAAATTGGGGCAACAACTTTCAGACTAACTTCGATGTAAATTGGTAGAATATTTACAGGGGTCTTCCATATGTCGGATGAATCGTAACACGCATGCATGCATGCATGCATGCATGCATTCATTCATTCATACATACATACATACATACATACATACATACATACATACATACATACATACATACATACATACATACATACATACATACATACATACATACATACATACATACATACATACATACATACATACATACATACATACATACATACATACATACATACATACACACACACACACGCACGCACGCACGCACGCACGCACGCACGCACACACACACACACACACACATATACATACATACATACATACATACATACATACATACATACATACATACATACATACATACATACATACATACATACATACATACATACATACATACATACATACATGCATACATGCATACATGTGTACATACATGCGCAGGCAGACTAACATACAGACAGGCAGTCAGAGATAGATGAAATATATATTTATAATTTTTTTACAGGATGGCAGAGAAGACCAGATGGTCCGATAACAGAACAGCTAGAGGTTCCTGCAGCTAAGGAGTTTTACGAACAATATGTAAGAGCAAACTCGCCTGTCGTGTTTCGAAACGCGGTCAGTGATGCACCCGTGTTTACCACATGGCAAGAGGACAAATATTTAATAGAAAAGTACGTTGGTATATATTATCACGTTATAAAATCTAAAATTTTAATTTTTGTTACAGTTTTGCAAACACAGCTGTAAGCACCAACGAGAGTACCCGTCGCACACTGCTACGATCTGATAGGCTACACACAAACACACACGCTCACACACAAAATTAAATTCATAAACTCGTTACCAATCGGTATTTATTCGACCTGTAGCCTTTTCTAATTTCTCGATAGAGTAAGTATTGTAATCATGCAAATGATTTTAAAAATTCTGAACCCCCCCCCCAGCTTTTCCTATTTTTTATGAGCTTTTATTACACTCACTTCCTCTGTCGTCAGTCTGTCTGTCTGTCGAAACGCCGGAACGAAAATTCGGACACTTGTAACTGAAGACAATGCATTAAGACATTAAATTTGACTTAATTGGATGCCTAATTAATTTTTTATGAATTAATTTAAATTTGGACCGAATTAGTAGGCAGTTCTATCCACACGCGTCATCACGGCCGTGTTGGGCGTGCAGCGAGTGAGGGCTCTACGTCAAAAGCGAGTCATCACGAGTTGGGTCAGCAATCTAGTTCTTTACCATTAGACTACGCCATCCCATAATATTTTACTGAAACTTTAGCTATAAACTTGACAATGGTTTTTAGTCATGTAACAATTGTAAATAAAATATGTAAAGTACTGAAAAAAAATTCATTAAAAAAAAACGTTTTAATAACAAGCTTTTATGTAATATTGCACTAAAAAGTAGAAAATAAATTATACACTACTATTTAAATAACTATAAAGAAAAGCGTAGGTCACTTTAGTATCTATTAGGAAAAGAACCGCGCGATGGTTTTTAGTCGGGTCAGCAGTCTAGTTCTTTACTACTAGACAACGCCATCCCATAATATATGTATAGTAAAACTAATCATATTATTAAAGCAAAATTGTGTTTCAAAATGTGTATCATATATTTCTTGCTACACTATATTCTCTTAACATGAGTATAACTCGTTAATACTAAAAAGTATAAAAATAATAAATACATAAAAACGTTTATAATTACAAGGTTTTATAAATGCACTAAAAAGAAGAAAATTATACAATTTTTTATTAAATTTAAATTGTTTTTAAAAATATAATAAATCTGCGGTTATTTTATATATAAAAAATTACTTTCTTTAAATATATTAGTGCAGTACTATTTATATAACTATAATTAAAAGCGTGGGCCGCTATAATAATAAGTATTTAAACAAGCGGCCCACGCTTTTGATTATAGTGATACTAGCTGCATCCCGTGCTCGCCACGGTAAATCTTTTTTTAAATGTACCAACTTGGGAACAGAACAAAACTAAACACAACACAAATGAACGCAAAAAAAAAATCACAAACGAAAAAAAACCCACAACACTCATACCATAAAAACAATTTAAATGCAATCATCAAGGAATATTGCTCACAGTCTAGCCCGTAGCGCCAAATCGTGCCCTTTCCGAGCGCCGGCGGACGCGTCTGACTCCGTGAATAAGGCGTAGCGACCCTTTCCGGCGCCCGGGGACAAACTCAAACTTTCAATTTCCACCCCGCCCCCTCAAACTTTCGATTTGAACCCCCTCCCCCCCCCCCCCGCCCGCAAATTTTCAATAATTTGTATTTCCAGCCCATTTAGGCTCCCCCTAAGGTCGGCGCCCGGGAACAAATGCCCCCCCCCCTTGCTACGCCTCTGCTATAAAACCCCTAGCTTGTCCGGAAACCAAAAAATAAAATAATAATTAGTAAACAATACGTATAGTGTATAAAATAAATTAAAGGCATTATTTAGAATATCCGTGTTTTACCGACCATATTGCACTTTATAAATTCATGCATTTTTTTTCAGTACTTTTTAAAATTTACAATAAAGTTTCATGACTAAAACCATTGCGCACCTAATGAACGTGATGACTTAATATAATAATTCGAGAATAGTTGATTAAAAATTTTAATTAGTAAACAGTACATTCAGTGAATAAAATAAATAAAATATAGCCTTTTATCAATCAATCAATGCTAATTATAATATTCCAACAATAATGTACTCTTACACGTCTGCATAATTTGCATTCACATTTTGCTAATTATATTATTCCAACAATTATTCCGTCTTGCAGATTTTGCATTAACATTTTTAGCGCGAGTTCAATTTATTTTTAAATTACCTCCTTTGGCAAAATTACTAAACAGTTTAATTAGATTTTTCTACCCTACTGTTATTATGTTATGAAAATGTATCCATTTTTTCTAGGAATATAAACGAAAATAATATTTGACATTGATCCTTTTAATATGCTTTAGCAATGTGCGTGTATTTAATATTTTCTTTACGTTATGCAAAAAAGTAAAAACGGTGGCAATTATAAAATAGGTCTATGCCGTTATATAAACAAACCCTACTCTATTTCTTCTAATAAGACACTGCAGTGCACTGAAAAGCACAGTATGGTGCGATGCTTACTTTTATGGTTTCAAAATCTATAGCGATGACAGAAGGACTGACACACGCTCAGCCCGCTTATATTATAGATAAATAGTAGTGCATTAATGTATTTAAAGAATTTAATTTTAAGTTCTCTATTTTCGGTAAACGGAAGTGGTACTTCCTCTACTGCTGGCTTATTATTTATTATACAATCCAATAACTTGAGCACGGTTTAAGCTAGGTGAACGAAAATTCAAAGATAAGTGCGCAGGTTTATATAACTTTTTGAACTATTTCCACCGCCGGAGGAATTTCATTTTAGCGGGAACACGATAACTTGAGTGCTGTTTTATTTAGATAAATGAAATTTCGTATACAGAGTTTCTTCCAGGCATCTCATCCCCGAACGATATGAAATTTATATAGAAAATACATACTTTTAACAGTGTCCGCCCCCCGAAAAAAGTCTACCGCCCCAACGAAAATTTCAAGTGCCCCCCCCCCCCGGAGAAAAAAGTCTGGAAGAAACACTGTTCGTATATATTATATACTATATAAGTATAAAATCTTACATTAGGATTACTTTTAATTGTTGAGAGACCTCCGATACCCTAAAATACGGATTACTTGAGATTGTTCAGGTAAGTGGACGAAATTTCATACATAGTTATCTTTTTCACTCGTTTTATGTCAAATTTTGAGTGATTTTCTGTGAGGTTAAATAGTACTGTAAGCTATTTCCGTGGGCATCGAAGAAATTCACTACTAATTAAGTCCACTTTAGTGAGAGGTTTTAAATAATAATTAACTAGTGATCACGTGACGCGCGTTGCTACGAAATATTGTATAACACTCAACTTACATTTTGATTGAAATGTATAGTATAAATCCTTTTAAAATGAATATAGACTAGAATAAAACTCAATGTACATTTGTATTAAAACACATACACTCACCTGTTGAAGTAAAACCTTTTTTTTACAAGCTTTTATTTAACTCACTGTTTCGTTCTGTCTTCAGTCGTCAGTCTGTCGTCAGTCTAGAGCGAAATTACGAGCACTTCTAATTGACAGATACGGTTTCGTTTTTGGTACCAGAGTATCTTCCAGGCATCTCTTGCTCCCCCCCCCCTGAAGAAAGTCTACCCCTCCCCCCCCCATCCCAACGAAATGGAATTTTCATAGAAAATATATACTTTTAACAGTGTCCGCCGTCCGCCCCCTGGACATTTTAGTCCGCCCCCCCCCCTTCAAATTTCAAGTGCCTCCCCCGGAGAAAAATGTCTGGAAAAAACACTGGTTGGTACGTGGGTCAAGACATGAACGCAATGCAACATGACATTAAACTTGACTTAATTTGGTTGACAAATTAGTAGGCTGTCTCATCCAATTATTTTATCTTCCTAAATATTAGTAAAGGTATCCACTAGATACTAAATTGACCCACGGTTTTCTTTATAGTTATTTAAATAGTATTGTATAATTTATGTTCTACTTTTTGGTGCATTATTACATAAAAGATTGTTATTAAAACTTTTTATGATTTTTTTTTACTTTCTCGTCTACAAAGTATAGAAAAAGTATTGTAATTGTGCAAAAAAAAAGATTTTTGCAAATCTTGACGTTTTACAGCTCCCTGAGTCGGAAAAACATAGTTTTACATTCTTGACCGTATATCTGTTTGTGTGTGTGTATGTGTGTCTGTGAACACGATAACTTGAGTACCACTACAGCTAGGTTGATGAAATTTCATATACAAGTATTATATCAAATTTGTCGTTCTGTATCAACTTTTCGGCGATTTCCGGTAACTGGAAGTAGAATTTATTTGTAACGTACTAATAATATTCCGCAAGGTGATGAAGCTTGTGATTCAAACATTAAAACTTGTATTTTCATAGTGAAACCAACAATTAAGCAGTAAATGAGGGCCCCCGTCTGCAGCCCTCTCAGCCCCCCCCCTTAATCCGCTACGTTTATATATATATATATATATATATATATATATATATATATATATATATAATCGGGTGGAGCCAAATTGGAGCCCTGGGATAGGTCGCTGTATGGGTAGTACATGATCGCATCAACGTGAGATTTGTACGTTAGTTGTGTTTATGAATTCTAGTTCAGAGAGAGGTTAAGTGCATGTTAATGATGCGTGTACTTTGTATTGCTATAAGAGTCTGCTTTTGAAAATGTATTATAGTCAAAGTATGAAACATTTCTAAGCTGGTTAGTTTGGTGTTTTCATTTATTAACTGCTTTCTGCTGTAGGTGTTCATGGTAGGATATCTGTTACGTCATCGATTGTCGTTGTCTTATTCAAACATTTGAAATGTTTGTAACCACCATCTTAGACGAAACCATTATCTACTGTAATAATCTTAATATTAGTTAGTAATTTACTAATCTTTATACAAATGTAAATAAAAAGTTGACTCTTTGAATGCTTGATTTCAAAAGATACGGTAATCTGGATGTTGAAGTTCGCCATAGATCTGTGAGAAAAAGAGACAGAATTGAAACAACCGAGGAAATAATAAAATTTAAGAAGTTCCTATACGACTACATGTATGATGACTGTTACCTTGCAACTGCTATACCAACACCAATGATGCAAGAACTTCCGGTTTGTATCATTTTAAGAAAGAGACAAATTTACAGTATTGCTGTTTTTATAAGGCCCAGGGGTATAGCATGTTTCAACTTCATGGATCTTCTTGGTGTTAATGTGAACGTTTTCGCATGTCCTGTCCTATAATTTGCTGGTGCCAATTACAGCAAGGAGTAGAATGTAAAACAACCCACGCCCTATTAACTTGTGTACACCCATTTAATTTAATGTAATGTATATTGCAGTTTCCAAAATGTGTGAGATGTGGTACCATTGGAAAAAGTTTAATATCAGCACATCTTTGGATGTCTAGTGGCGGAACATCCAGCCTTATACATAGTCACGATAATCATTTGCTGTATTGTGTTTTGTTTGGTCGTCGAGATTTTATTCTCATTGATAGGAGCCATAAGAAATATGTGGATTTTGTTGAAGACGTAAGAAACATTTGTTTTTTTATGTACAATTAAGAAATATTTGTATTTTCCCGAACAAGTAAAATATATTTGCATTTTCATGTATACGCATGCACATATTTTTGTAATTTCTTTTACAAGTTAAAATGTTTCTGTGTTTTCTTGTAGACGTTAAAAATATTTGAGTTGTATTGAAGATAAGAAACATTTCAACACCCACTTTTCTCGATAACTGAGTATTATTAAATACTAGGCATGCTGCCCAGCTTCGCTTAGGCTTTCGAAAACATTGAGAATTTGAATGCTTAATTAATTCGCCTATATAAGGCGCCGGTCAGTCGAGGTCAGTTTTGACCCCCTCATCGTAGACTTTTCGGCCAACCGGCCCCCGTGTTCTGTCGCCCCAAGGCAAGATCCTGCCAAATTAGAAGCGCCTGCGGCGCCGGGAAGTGCCCTATCGGGCACCCGACAACTTAGCTTTATAGATCATCTAGATCTAGATCTAGATCTATATGATCTAGAATCTCTAGATCTAAATGATCTAGAATATCTAGATCTAGATCGATATCTAGATCTAGAATATCTAGATCTAGAATCCAAATAGATAAAATATTTTTTTTAAGTTTAGGCCGAGAAAATCGTATTGTATACATTTCATAGCGTACATAGCTCTAAATCATATTTGAATTAAATAGTTCATTTCTTTTTATTCTAAACTCGGAAGATGACGTCATCAGTTTCGTGCTCTTTTTTTAGTGTTAACATAAGCGACGTCTTTGTTAAATGCGTTCTTGTCCCAAGTTTAAACACTTTTCCGGTTGCATACTGTTTCTCTACATTCGAATACGCCTTTATTTTTTATTTTTCTTCTTTAAATAAAATTGTGGTTATACATTTAAAACATCTAACATATTATTTTCAACAAAAGTCCGTATAAAGTTCTCCATATATCGTTGCCGTTTCTGACGTGATGTCCGGCGAAAATATTTTGCGGACAGACAGAGAGAGAGAAGAGCGCACATGGCCTTTTATATATTAGGATGATCTCAGTTGCTGCCAAGATCTCCTAAAATAGGTCTGAAAATCTCGATGCTTATTTCCGTCAATGCTCGACAAAAACAGCAAAGGCTTTCTAGAAAGGAAAAAAAACCCACTGTACTTAAATCCTCTTACGGGTTAGGGAATTTAAGAGTGTTGCTATGTCAGAGGTAAAAGTAAAAAATGCTCACATAAATTATAAACGACGAAAGATGCTAATTTCCTTAATTCATTTTAAATTCTTAATCTTTGCTCTGATAAAATGATAACAATCATTATTATCATTATTTTCTTAAACTAACCCTAACTCTAGCCATATCGCCATGTATTAATGCCATTTGAATCAGAAACGTTATGGTTTTAAGCAGTGGCTTAGCGAGGTCGGGTGTCACCCGGTGCGGCACTTAGTTGTGTCACCCCCCAGAGGCGTAGCGACCCTTCCCGGGGATAAACTTTCAAATTTTCGATTTGCACTCCCCCTCGAACTTTCGATTTGCACCCGCACCCCCCTCAAACTTTCGATTTGCACCCCCCCCCTAAAGTTTTTCTCTATATATTTTGCTATTTTTTGCCTTGGTGTCACCCCCCTAAATGGTGTCACCCGGTGCGGTCCACACCCCCTCGTCCCCCCCTCGCTACGCCTCTTGTTTAAGTCAGTTTATGTAAAATCAACCTAACAGGAAGTTTAAAAAATTAGTATAAAAATGCAAAATATAAATTGCCGTTGATCGAAATAAGCACGTTGTCTATTTCGTCTACTATTGACCGAAATAAGCACTTTCCTGAAAGAAAGAATACTATCATCTAAATTAGATCTGATAAGATCTGATTCGGCCTAAATTAGATATGATATCAAGAGACCAGACAGAATATTGACTTTTTACTTGTAAAAAATGCATATGTATGGTGTAGTCCAATCCACTTAATTAATTACGCATTAGCTGTCTTCAAATGATAGGTATTTTCAGCTTTGGGAACATGGGAAATGCCTAATGCGAGGGAGCAGGTTATTCCCCCCCCCCCCTCCCATGTCAATCAATCTCTCTCATTTTCTACCCGGTGGTGTATGTTCCAGATGCGAGGCTCGTTTAAAATGGGATTAGTTCAATTTGACACCTTACTCATTCAATACAATTATCCTCAAATTACTCCAAAAGTTGTTGCATTTCTTTGATATTTTCAGTGTGTTTTTGCCGTTTTCGAACACATCTTCAATGTCTGGCACAAAAGCCAACGCACACATTATCCTTACCATCATGGCAAAATCTGCGTCAGCCGCGTATTTAGTCTGAAATCCATTGGGCATAACTTTTTGAATCCTACGAATATTAAGAACTTTATCCATGTTAAACTAGTAAAAAACTAAAATCTTGTTATATTTATTTTCAATCATAGAGAGAGAGAGCGAATAATATTGATGACTTGCAGTTATATACAGAGGCGTAGCGACCCCTCCCGGCGCCCGGGGACAAACTTTCGATTTGCACCCCCCTTCAAACTTTTGATTTGCACCCCCCCCCCCTCAAGATTTTGATTTGCACCCCCCCCTTCAAATTTTCGATTTGCACCCCCCCTCAAGCTTTCAATTTATTTTTCCAACCCATTTTGGCGCCCCCTAAGGTCGGCGCCCGGGGACATATGCCCCCCCCCCCTTCGCTACGCCTCTGGTTATATACCCGAGGCACGACGCTCGAATATACGAATAAATACCTCAAAAGACATCAAACGCAAACCCCTTAAGCAGCGGCAGCATATTTAGGGTGAAACAAATTTCACCTCGTTTTCCGCCAAGTCCACTGCCTATACATAGTGCTTACCAAAATTAAAATTATATGTACTTCAAAAGTTAAACCGATATAACAAAAAAAGACTATACAAACAGTGGCACCACATTTAAGATATACATTTACATCATTCGCTTGGAAAATCCACTCCTTCACACGCGTTTACCAACATTACCATACGTACTTTCAAAGAAAAATCAAGTCAAAAAACACACACACATGCAGCGACGTTTGAGGTACAGTTGTACCTCGACATACGAGATTTTGGAGATTCGAGTTGTCGAGCAAGCGAGCTAAAATTTCCCTTGACATAATTTGAGATCCGAGATTAGTCGGTTTAACAGTTCGTTGAAACGAAACAACCCGAAAAAGACAACGGATTGCGCGTCGGAGTTACATAATGACACAGAACTCGTTTCCAAAACATTCGGAAAAGGTGGAAAAATCAAACTTCCTGCCTCCTTGGACTAGTTTATTACAACGAACTTCTAGGAAAAATGGAGAGAGCGAGCAGAGTTTCTTCCAGGCATCTCTTCGGGGGGGCAAAGCGCCCCCCCCCCCGAAAATTTTTTACCGCCCCCCCCCCCGAACGAAATGAAATTTGTATAATTTATATAGAAAATATATACTTTTAACAGTGTCCGCCCCCCCGAAGAAAGTCTACTGCCCCCCCGAAAATTTCAAGTGCCCCCCCGGAAAAAAAAGTCTGGAAGAAACACTGAGAGCGAGTAAAACAAAGAGCGTAGAAAGCAAAGACCAACGAAAAGAAAAGCAGCGTAGAAAATACAAGTAAAAAACATAAAATAGTAGCATTTAGGTTGAATTATGTTCGGTGAAGTTTGAGTTTCATTGTTCAGGGATAAAGTGTAGCGTTAAGTGTCCGAGTAAGTAAATTGAAGTCCTCCAAAGTTGAATATTTAACACGAGCCGACCCGCGTCATATCATACGCCGCTACTTAGTTGTTGTTTTTTCTACTTTTCAGTTATTCATAATTTGTTAATTCGCCACTACCAACGCTGCCATTGAAAATATTTCTTTAAAACACTATAAGTAGATCGTTAAGGACGATAACCCCCCCTCCTTCCCCCCTCCGTTAAAGTAAACTCCACTTAGTTACCCCCCCCCCCCCCCTACGTTTAAAATCGTTTCAAACTAAATTATCTGCCCCTAATAGTCGTCACTAAACCCGGTTCTGTTTGTAAACATTTAGAGTGAACCACAGCTCACCAGACCATGTAGGGGTGGGGGTGGTAGGAAGCGCGTTTAATGCTTGTTTTCTAGCGTCTCCCAGAAGAGAATTATATATAGAGATTGTTTTATTTCCTCCGCCTACCTCCATCTTACAATTGGCATATACAATCCACCAGTATCTTTGTAAGCTCTAGTCGGCTGATTTTTAATGGAAATACGCTTTATAACGCCAGTTTATTTCTTTGCATTATCCTTTATTATGTTATTAAGCAAAATTTGTAATCTATAAATACACTTTTCTTATTTGAAAATTACACGAAACAAAAAAGGGGTGGCGTTTCAACTGCGAGCAATATGGCATATGAACAATGTTACAGAACAAATTAAATTCGTATTAAATACAATTCCACAATTCTTATCAATCGCATTCCCTTAAACTTATAAAGATCTTACGTTGACCGGGAGGGGGGGGGGTAATGTTCTATACCCCCCTTCCACCCCCCCCCCCCCCCACTAAGAAACGGTACAATGCGCTTTTATAATTTTTATTTCTTACATTGTTAAAATGACTGCAATTTTTCAGTATCCAGGGTCGCTGAGTGGTCATTCAAATATCAACACTTATAGGCTGAATATGTATGCCTTTAAAAATATAGGGCGTGTGCCTTGGATTTGGTCAACGCTATATCCTGGTGATTGTATTTTTGTGCCTGCAGGTTGGTACACGCATCAAATAAATACTACTTTGATAAAAAATAAATACAGCTCGAGTGACCTCCCTATATACTTCTTATACTTCTTTTCCATATATTTTTATTGTATTTTATACACTAACAGTAAAGGGGATGGTCAGGGGCAGATTGAGCTTAAGCAGCCCCCACCCCCCTCCCCCCACCGGCAGAAAAAAATTCTTATGGGCGGCGCCCGGAAGGGTGCGATTTTCGTCAATACACGGTTTGGCGTCCAGATTTCTAGAGCATTTTAGCACTTGGTATCCGTTAATTGGTGACGTGAATAGCGGATAAGCAGAGGCGTAGCAGTTGGGGCGGCCGACCTTAAACGGGCGCCAAAAAGGGATGTAAAAAGAAAAAAAAATAAGCTTATTCCGAGCTACATTACAGTCGATTTTTTATGAAAAGAGAAAGCTACTTCGTTCTACGAACGGCTTTCTACGTTGCTTTTGTGATACGGCAAAATACTATTAACGGTGACTGATGTGTGTGGTGGGGTCCTTTTTCGCTAACGTGAATAAATATATAATTATGAAGGGGGGGGGGCACAAAATTAATAGTTCGCCCCGGACGCCGAAATTGGTTGCAACTCCTCTGCGGATAAAGGGTTAAACTGCAACAGACGCTACCGTCCCGAGATCATTTGTCATATCCATGTATGTAAATGTATATATATATACACATACATATATATTAATACATATATATATATATATATATATATATATATATATATATATATATATATATATATATATATATATATATATATATATATATATATATACATATATACTTAAACTCCAAGAGTCAGTATTTTTAATTTAGTTTTTGTTGATGATTCCGCTTAATCAGAGTATTTGCACTATGCGTAGAAGGGTGAAATACGTATTTATGTAGATAATAATGTTCTTTTTCCCCAAATGTTGAACACAAATTAATTAATGTATTGATGTATTCATTTGTAGAAATACACCTTTAAACAGAATGGATTGTTATAGCCGCTCACTTAATAGAATCAGACGCGTCCTCCGGCGCCCCGGTACGATGCAATTTGGAGCCCCGGGCTCTACTGTGAGCACTAAGGTGCATACGTTCGTTTTAAACAGTGCGATAGACTATGGATAAGATGGGTTACTGTAGTCGTTCACTAAATTGAATCAGGCGCGTCAGCCGGCGTCCCGGCCGGTTGCTGTTTGAAGCCCCGGGCCTTCCCGTGAGCGCTTTGGCGCCTACTATGTTTTAAACATTGCGATAGACCAGGGGTTCCCAACCCCGTGCCCGCGGGCGCCATGGCGCCCGCCAAACGATTCGTATGTGCCCGCCTCTCACAATTCGACAGAGACATAATTTTTTTCATAAACATTATTGAAAGGTTGAAGGTGATGGAAATCGAAAGTTTGAGGGGGGGGGGGGGGGGCTGTGCAAATCGAAAGTTTGAGGGGGGGGGGTGCAATCGAAAGTTTGAGGGGGGGGGATGCAATCAAAAGTTTGAGGGGGGTGCAAATCGAAAGTTTTGTCCCCGGGTGACGGTAAGTGTCGCTACGCCTCTGGAAGGAGTTTGTCGATTTAAAATAGGTGGTGCCCGCCACCCTACCAATATTTTATAATGTGCTCTAGAGTAAAAAAAGGTTGGGAACCCCTGCGATAGACTATGGATAAGAAGGGTTACTATGATATATTTAACTAAATCGAATCCAGGGCGTCCACCAGCGCACCCACATGGTGCTATTTGGCGTGAGCGCTATGGCGACTACTTTCGTTTTAAACAGTATGTATATAGATATATAACCCTAAACCTAACTTTAACCTTACTACAACCAACCACAATCACAACCACAAACGAACATAGACATAAACCTTCTCCCCTCCTCGGAGTTCTTCGTTTAAAAAACAATCACATAAAAGCAAACACAATAATCACATCCCCTCTTCACAACCTCAACCATGAAATAAACGCCAACAAAACCAACTCTCACGACAACCACAAACATAACCCCACCCTGCACTTTTACGCCTAAAATAACCACATAAACAAAAACATAAACACAAACTCAAGCATTAATTCAAACCCTAACCCTCACTACAACCTCAAAAATAAACACAAACATACAAAAAACATAAACATAAGCATAAACCAACCCTCACTACAACCTCAACCACAAAAACCTACGCCTACACCTATTCCTAAACGTATACATATCATATACCTATATCTAAACCTTTTCCTAACCTATTCCTGAAATCCTTGAGCTATCCTCATCTGGATCTCTCTCAAAATCACGGGTAATTGATGGGGGGGGGGGGGGGTCCTACTGTAACTGATTAGGTGGGGATGTGTACAGGAAAGTAATAAAGTAATTAATGGAGTGGGGGTGGGAAATGACAGGGAGTAATTAACAGGTTGTTATTGTCAACCTTTTTACACGTTCCTATTCCCTTTCCCTTTCCTAATTTATAATTCTAGCAGCATTTTAATTTAATTATATCCTCAACCCCCGATTTTACTCTGCAGAATGATAAATAAAGACTAAAGAGGTGAATACAAAGAGTCTAAAAAATAAGAGACTAAATTATATATAAATAAGAGACTAAATTTTATATATATATATATATATATTATATATATATATATATATATATATATATATATATATAGGCTGTTATATTTCCAATTTATTAAGGTTATATTCATCACGTACGCTCACTGGGAAGAAGTCTATCACTCACTATTGAGTTTGCTACAATGGTTGACTTTGATGACACCGGATGTACACTAATTGAAGAAGACTTTGCCCCGCTATCCGATGCATCGTTCCTGCTAACTTTCAACAAAGGGATTCTGGTAATTAGGATTAAAAATCAAATTGACTTATAGTTTTAATAATCGACTTACAATACACGGAAGATAAAATGTTTAACTTTTTTACTTTCTCATATACGAAGTATAGAGGAAGTATTGTACACGAGTGGCGTAGCGAGGTCGGGTGTCACCCGGTGCGGCACTTAATGGTTTAACCCCCAGAGGTGTAGTGACCCTTCCCGGGGACAAATTTACGATTTGCACCCCCTCAAGTTTTCGATTTGCACCCCCCCCCCCCCCCTCTAAAACTTTCGATTTGCACCCCCCCTCAAGTTTTTCTCTCTATATATTTTCTATATATATATCTATATATTTTGCTATTTTTTGCCTTGGTGTCACCCCCCTAAGTGGTGTCACCCGGTGCGGTCCGCACCCCCCCCCCCCCCCGCCCCCCCCCCCCCTCGCTACGCCTCTGTTGTACACCTCCCTGATTCGGAAAAACATAGTTTTGCAATTCTGTTCGTATGTCTGTGTCTGTGTGTATGTATGCGGTGGCGTAGCCAGGATGGTCTCATGGGGGGGGGGGGGAAGGTGGTCAATTTTTTTCCATCATTTTATATATATATATATATATATATATATATATATATATATATATATACATACATATATATACATATATATATATATATATATATATATATATATATATATATATATATATATATATATATATATATATATATACTCTGTAGTACTCTGTAGTACTCTGAAGAAATAAGAAAAAACACACAATGTAGGCCGACAAAACAAAACAATTTATCACTCTAAAAGTAAACAAACACACAAAAAAATAAACATACAATAGAACTAAAAACAATGAACGCAGCACAATCTGTTTTGTAATCCTTTAAAAAACAAGTTAATAAAAAGTCTAGTGACAATTTAAGCGCAATTTCCTTATGTTATCCATAACTTTTTTAAAAAAAATTGTGACCGAACGAAAGGATATTTTTGAAAACTTTCTTCGGCAATATTGTTCTAAATTATGGCAGGAATCGATTGGTAAATGTTTCAAGTCGCTAAGTGGTCTGGTTGCCGAGATATGGGCCAAAAACTGCATTTTTTCGAGAAACCCGGGAATTTTTTTGGCCCACAATCATCCTCGGAACTTGCTTAACATATTTTGCTTTTGGAACTAGTCCTCGATATTGCGTCGTTGAGGAGGAGATATGACTTAAAGCTGCGGACACACATCCATCCATCCATCCATCCATCCAGAAATAACGAATTAATAATCGCAATTGTTAATTCGCTAAAAACAATATGACATAATTCAAAAAATATTAAGACAAGCGAACTAGGGGAAATAATCACTCTCGTAATATAAATGTGTATATTTCTACAAATTTAATTGTGAATGTCAAAACAGATCAATAATTACTTAAGTATGTAAAAACAGTAGCTGAACGCTATTCGTTTTTACAAAAATATGTTGTCGACAATCATAATGAAATATATTGTAATCATAAATGCTAAAATATTACAGCATAATGAATGTTTTTGAAACAGAGTTGGTATAAAAATAATGCTTTTCAAAAAATGTTAACAATACATCTAATAGCCTGAACATTCTGAATAATAGCCTACATTCAACTTTAATATTGGTCTTGCAGTTCAGATCATTCATTTTTCAATTTGCTACTGTTTTTGTGTTCTTTAAAGATGTATTTAACATAATGATACTGTATGGGTTGGATCACTGTACTGATCACACACCTCTTTAGTCTTTACTGGTATTTGCAAAAACAATATTTACAGTTTTGCCTGTTTCAAAAGCTATGATTCTGGCGGCATGGTATTTTGGTACCTCATTACGCGATTTCCTAAATGTACAGATCAGTTCGGGGTGGGTTGGGGGGGGGGGGGGTCAACTTCATTCACCACTGTCCGGTCACCTTTGGTCAATTATCCTCCCCAGCGAATACCTAGGTATGACATTAATGTCGCTCTACACAATTAAGGCCTGTCCCGTTTTAGGTGGTGAGGTGGAGGGGGGGGGGGGAGAAACCAACTCAGAGTAAACAGCGTCAGTCTTTAGATGAACGTTCTAAACATAATATACAATTATACATACATACTGATTCAAAAATGGATTGAAATAAGTAACCGTGGTATAATGCCAGTTACATGTTTTACAGAGGGTTCCATGGGGGGGAGGGGGTTGTAAACCCCCCAACAGCCCCACCCCTACCTACGCCACTGTATGTATCTGTATTTGTGTGTATGGCTGTATGTCTGTAAACACGTTAACTTGAGTACCGTTACAACTAGGTTGGTGAAATTTCTTTTGTAAGTATTATATCATGTTTGTATTTCTGTATCAACTTTTCAGCGATTTCTGATATCCGGAAGTGGAACTTAATCTACTTTTGATTATTTTTTAAATCCTATAACACGAGAACTGTTTCAGAGAGCCATACGACATAGCGAAATTTTTGCGGAGGGCTACACCGTTTAAAAAGACGTGCTGCATGTCAAAGTTGACCTGCTGCATGTCAAAGTTGACCTGCTGTATGTCAAAGTTGACATGATGTCTGTCAAAGTTGACATGATGTCTGTCAAAGTTGACCTGCTGTCTGTCAAAGTTGACATGATGTCTGTCAAAGTTGACCTGCTGTCTGTCAAAGTTGACATGATGTCTGTCAAAGTTGACCTGCTGTCTGTCAAAGTTGACCTGCTGTCTGTCAAAGTTGACCTGATGTCTGTCAAAGTTGACCGGCTGTCTGTCAAAGTTGACATGATGTCTGTCAAAGTTGACCTGATGTCTGTCAAAGTTGACATGATGTCTGTCAAAGTTGACATGCTGTCTGTCAAAGTTGACCTGCTGTCTGTCAAAGTTGACTCTTTTTATCACTTTGCCCAAGTTCGGCCACCTTCCCCCTGTTGTGTTAAATTACATCTTGATAATCTACTCCATATCCTCAAGCATTGATATGAATTGTCGATGGTTGAGTGCCTTTGCTCTGATTATGTTAACCACGCTTACAACAGGTTCTATCCCTTGCTTTAAGTCAAGTGCAGCTTTACAAAGGCTTTCCTAATGCAAAATGCAATGAACTGACAATACATCACTGTCTGCGTCTTGTGCTTGTAACTTTGTTTTTTTAAAGCTTAACTATACCCCTATGTATTCCAGTAAAACATCTGGCCCCATATGTTGTAATGCTTGCCATTCTATTCCATGACAAGCAACTTTTCTCAACACAATATACAGCACAGTCAAAGAAGTCAGTGGTTGTTGCGTGGTGTCGTTTCAGATTGTCCTCCTTAAATATGACAATCGTTTCATGACACAGTTAACACACTGTTATCTTGCCAGGATTACCAAAGAAATATTTGTGTACCCATTCTTCATTAAACACACGGGACTCATCACCAATGTTTTGCTTTTTCGGAGGATACATGGCTTGACTTAATTTGGTCGCGGACATGAAGGAAATCTCAGTTCAAGGCAGGGTTTTCTGAATGGCTGGCGGGCCACACAAAAAAACAACTCTGTGGCGGGCCGCATGTGGCCCGCGGGCCGCACTTTGACAATCCCTGCTCTGCTCTATTTCTGATTTCTCAACACACACAAAAAACGCATATGAATTTATAATGTACTGGTACTTCGCACGATTATACACATATTGTTTGCCGTTCAGTTGGTGCACAATTCTTTTTCTCTACGAGATTCTATTCTATTATAAAAAGTTTAAGTAATTAAAGAAGGATTAAAATTCATGTCTACATCAAGAGTTGCCGTCCCCGTAATGTTATATAAAAATATTCGAATAAAGTTTAGGGGAGATCATTCCCGCTTTATTAAACATTGTATTTAAATTTTCTTTGAAATATATTTGAAAATCTTTTAAAAACTATTTTAGATTTTTCAATACCAATAACAATATCAATACAGATAGCAATGACAGTAACAGCAACAACAATAACGAAAACAGCAAAAACAACATTAGTAATAATACCAACATAAACACTAAGCATAGCAATAACCACAATCATAAACAAAAACATAAACCTATACAGATCATTATCACTATACCTATCTCTATACATATCCCTAATCATGTCCCGATCCCAATCTCGTTCCCGATCCCAACCATGATACCTATCCCTATGTCTCTCTTTAACCTGCGAAAATGCGTATAGCCCTAATATTGATAAAACTATAACCATAACCATAAACATAACCCTATGCCGATATATTTCACTATATACTCATCCATATCCCTAATAAGATCACGATCATGATACCCTATCCCTATCTTAAATCTATTCAATTTCCTTATCATTTTCCCTGTCTCTTTTCCTGTCCCATTTTATTTTCCCCATTGCTATCCCTATTCAAATACCTGTACCTGTTCAACACTAAACTCTGTTAATTGAAAATTTAATAACAATTATTCAATTCCAATCTAAACTAAGTATCTTTCTAACAGTAATTAAATCTTAACCATAATACTGGTATAATACTAAAACGATGCTAACCTTAAAACTTGAAGAAAACGTTAAGGAATAGTAACATTAACCCAGTTTAATTAATCAATTTGACCGTATCTTTTGAAAGATCTATTCATAAAATATTAATAAAACTAAAACAACCACATATAAAAATCAGTGAAGAGAAAAAAAGGCAGTATTATTATTAGGCTTTTAAAATTTTAAAATAATATGAAAACTCTTAGATCTATTTATATTTTAGCAAAGTTTAAATTCTAAGAATATCTAATTTTTAAAAAATCTTCAGTCCTATTTTTATTTCTGAAGGAAGAGTACCAAAATAATAAATACTGATAGTATTTATAGCGCAGCGGTTCTTAATTTGTATCGAAGCCCATGAGGCAGTCTCAGTGGTTCGGCGGAGGTCAATGCACACAAATGACTATTTGCGGTTGGATTTTATGAGTGAAGACGACATTAGCACTGCACGATATGGTATTAAAGTGGACTTGTGCGAGATAACGCGTATCCATATCGTGAAA